CAGCTACGAGTTAGAAGTTCTTGCGATTATTCAAGCTATCAAGAAGTTTAGAATTTACCTGCTGGGCGCTAAATTCAAGATTGTTACGGATTGCCTTGCATTTCAAAAGACGATGGATAAAAGGGATTTAACTACTAGAGTGGCTAGATGGGCGTTACTTTTGGAAGAATATTCATACGAAATAGAGCATCGAAAAGGATGTCGAATGCCACACGTGGATGCCCTTAGTAGAAACCCAACGACGATGTTAATGCAAGAAACTCTTGTGGATGATGCGTTAGTTAAAAGGATCCGAAACGCGCAAAGAGGTGATGGACACTTAAACATAATCACCAAAATTCTAGAATTAGATCAAAACTACGACGATTATTCTTTAAAAAACGATATCTTGTACAGATACAAAGAGGGAAAGGAATTATTGGCGATACCAGAGGGAAAGGCGCTTGAAGTCATTAAACAATGTCACGAATTAGGACATTTCGGAATAGCGAAAACGGAAGAAGTAGTAAAAAGAGAATTCTTCATTGAAAAACTACCTGAGAGAATTAAGGATTGTATTAGAAATTGTATACCTTGTATTCTAGGAAGCAGGAAGGAGGACAAAAGGGAGGGATTTCTACATCCCATACCTAAGAAAGGTCCACTTCACACCTACCACGCTGATCATTTGGGGCCAATTACATTGACTAACAAAAATTATAAACACCTATTGGTAATCGTTTGCGATTTCTCTAAATTTACGTGGCTATATCCGACGAAATCGACCACGACCCAAGAAGTACTGAAATGTTTAGAAGGGCAGAAGCAGATTTTTGGAAACCCTAGTCGAATAATAACGGATAGGAGTACAGCCTTTACTTCTCACGAGTTTGAAGAATATTGCAAAAGAGAAGGCATCCAACACACATTGATTTCAGCTGGAGTCCCGCGCGGAAATGGACAAGTGGAAAGAATAAACCGAAGTCTTATACCAGTACTAACCAAACTTAGTCTAGATGACGCGACAAAATGGTATAAATACATAGGGCGGGTACAGAGAGCTTTAAACTCTACGTTTCAAAGAAGTGTAGCTGTGCTGAAGTATTATTTGGCGTAAAAATGCAAAATAAAGAAGATTTAGCTATAATAAATCTATTAGAGAAAGAAGCAGTAGAGGAATTTACCGAAGCCAGAGAGAAGATCCGAGAAGGTGCCAGGACACAAATTAGTAAGGTACAAAGAGAGAACATCAGAACTTATAACCTTAGAAGGAAAAAAGCAAGGAAGTATTGCGCTGGAGACGAGTTCACTTCCATTATCATAGATTATATTAAAAGAAATTTATCTCCGGCTACTAAATCCGTTGTTTGCTTCAGCGACGGATGCTGCTACCAAACTCGAAACATTACGCTTTCGAATGCTTTTTCTTACTTATCAAGAACATCAGGTGTTGAAATATTTCAATATTATCTAGAAAAGGGTCATACTCAAATGGTGTGTGACTCGATCCACGCGTGTATTAAGCATAACCTTAGAAATCGTGTCGTGTATGTACCGGTATGCTATTTTGACATTTGTAGGTCTGCTAAGGCAAAAGATCCTTATAAAGTTGACTACTTAAATTATTCCTTTTTTAAAGATTACTCGGTAATCAAAACATTTTCTTCAATTTGTCCTGGCAATACTAAGGGAGATCCTAAAGTAACTGATCTCAGAGCACTGGCATACCGTTGTGATGGTGCGATTGAGTATAAATTATTATACCAGGACCATTGGACACCATTACCAAGGCGTACAAGAGCAATTCAAGATCATTGGGATATACCCCAATTGCATAACGCTCCTCTAAAAATTAAGCCTGATAAATTTAAAATTCCTGATAAAACACCTTCAAGAATTAAAAAACTAAATTCCAAAAGATTTTAGGCTATTCTACGACAACTTATCTTACTAACTCAAACTTTTTTTATTTTATTTTGTATTTCTGTTGAATAAAGTTTGTAGTTGTGTTCCTATTGTTTCATTAATATTTTTTAATCATCTAATTAAACAAAATATTGGATTCAAATCCTTAAAGAGATAATACTTTTCATGTCAAAACATCGCAAGTTGAAAAATGATTAAAAAAATACAACCAAAACCTCGTAAGTCGATTTTTTTTGTAAAATCATATCCAATTTAATGTACTTGCACAGCATTAAAAATGGGTGCAATTATAATGTTTTATGTCGCTAACACCAAAACGGGAACGCCTTATTAAAAAACGTAATCAGTTTTTTGTCTCCCCTCTAAAATTTATAAAATTCGACTTAAGAGGTTTTACACTTTAACCATCGATTTAACATTTTTTTACATTGTTGTAGGGAGAAAATGTTGTAGGGAGAAAATGTTGAAACATTCTTGTAGAAATCATCCAAGTACATCAGCAATGGTAAAACAACCAGAACAAATTCCACTAGAATTACAGATAGATGATGTTATCAAAATAGTAAGTGTTGCAGATAAATTGCACTGTTTAACCAATGATGTTGCAGTACAAACAACAGAAATGGAATTGAGATTTCAAAAATTTAATGTGCTAGATTTTCTCAATAGCAATAAAGTATTAAATGCATTTACTTGTATTTCAATTCTCCAGTTATTAATGATATCGTTAAGTGTGTAAGTAGTTGAAGGTTCTTCAAATACTAAAATGCCAGTGTTACGAATATGTATTATTTGTATACAAGGTATTTAGTTAATTTTTAGTTTTATCATGTTCCCAAAATTTCCCGTTGCTACTGTTCTATAAACTATGTCAAATATAATATCAAAACGTCAAAAAACAAACTGTCACCGATTAGGGAAAATCTTAAATAATTTAGCAGACAGCAAGAGAACAAAATTTGAGTTGTTTTTTCGCAAATAAAAATAGTAAACTACATATCCGTCAATTGCTGGCTGAACAATAAAGATAAATTCCCAACAAGCACAAATTCTATTGCCTCGCGATTGCTGAATCACACAATCCTACAAGGTCTACGAATATGGGGCCATCAGTTGCTGGACGAACCAAAATTTATCTATGTCCTGTGTGCGGCGAACCAAATCGTGAAGAACAGATGGAAGAATCTACAAAATGTAAAAAATGGTGCTGTTTTGAATGCATAAATCTACAGGATGATTCCGAAGTAATTAGTGATGACAGCTGGAAGTGTCCTTTTTTGTGTAGACGCAGCTACTAAGAAGTCTCACCACAAGGTTCCAAAATCAAGAAATCTTGTTCTTTGACCTCCTTAAAAAGTTCCTCATCAACAAGCAGCAAAATGAAGCTTTAACTTCTGCAGGAAGAACGAGATCTATTACGTCAAGAAAGAGAGTAAACCAAGGAGTCTAGGAGAATCATAAAAGAAGATGAGTGCTCGAATCATAGTCAGGACATCGATGAAGACGAAATAATTGAAACTAACCCTTTGGTCAATAAATTCCTTTCTTTAAATATAGAGAAGCCCTTTATCGACAATGTTGCCCCTTTAACTCTAACACTTGGTAAGCCTCTGCCAACTTATAACGATAAAAGTTCAGGTATATTATATAAAAGGAGAGATCCTGGAGATCTCCCAATTTTTAATGGCAATCCATATGACTTGGTGTGTAAAGGGGTAGTGAAGCGCAATACATGATGTCGTATCCTGGTGGCATCACTTAGACTCTCCTACTCAATTCCTATCTTCACCTCCAAGCTGGTACACACCGGTAACCTGAGCAACCCCACTGGAGACTGGATAACCAACCCCAGTGGATGGTGGGGTTAGGGCAGACGAAGAAGGGAGCCTTGGTCCTCCGATGCAAAGGGGGTTGAGCGAAGGGTTAACAACCCTTCCTTGTAGAACTCAATTGTTGCGAATACAATGGCTAATGAAACAAACGGGCAGATCTCACAACGACGAACTCAGCACAGAAAAATGGACATGATTATGGATTTAAAATTTGGAACCTGGAACGTGCGAACCTTCTAAAAGGCAGGAGCTACGATAAGTATGGCAGAAGAACTTGAAAAATGCGGAGTTAAAATATTGGCACCGCAGGAAATCAGATGGAAGAACCAGGGAGAAATTCATAAGAATAAATTCTCACTATACTACTCCGGAAATGAAATGAGACAAGGTGAAAGAGGAGTAGGGTTTATGGTAACCAAAAAACTGCGGAAAGCCATTATCGCATTTGCACCAATATCAGATAGAATTTGCACCATAAGATTTAAAGGTAAATTTCATAACGTGGCAATGGTTAATGTATATGCACCGACGGAAGAGGCTGATGAAGAAGACGTTGAAAGATTCTACGGAGAACTACAGGATGTATGTGATAAAATCCAAAGACACGATGCTGTTATAACGTTAGGCGATTTTAATGCTAAACTGGGGAAAAAAACGTTTTCAAATATATTTGGGAAACACAGTTTGCACACTGAAACCAGTCAAAATGGACTCAGGGTGGCACAGTTCGCAGCAGCAAATAATTACGTAGTTGTCAGTACTAACTTCCAGAGAAAAGATATCCATAAAGGAATATGGAAAATACCAGGAACTAACGAAGCCAATCAAATTGACCATATCGACGGTGGAAAAGCAAAACACTTGAAGCGCCATTTTTTAAACTTTACAGGAGAGCCAATTAAAGTTATAATTTTACGAAAAAAATTCATTAAAAATCGAATTTTACGCTTATCTCGATATTAAAAATAACGGTCTGTCAGAATTTTTAAACTCTTTATTTACGGTCAGTTTAGAAACTAGAATCATAAATATAAATAAAAATAAGTGGCGTTTAATGATTTTAGTCAAAATATAAAATAAGGCAAAACAATTTAATGTACACACAGATACTTTATTTGGGTAAGGAAAAACGCATTAACCACCACTCTTACCAAATAATGAGATGCATAAAAACAATTCAACTGCCTTGGTAAACTTTTATATCTGCTAGGCAGAACAAATTATATGACGCAATACTCTCTAAAATGCCTCGATAAAAACAACTTAAGTACTTTAACAAATATAAAAATTAGGCAATGAATAAATTAAGTACCTACCTGCTCTTGTACTAAATAAGTAAAGGAAAAAATAATAAAAACTAAGATTTTTAAAAGAAGTTTAATTCAAAACATTATTATTGCATTGAAAACATAACTAAAATAAAATAAACTGAAGAAGTAATTGTAAAGACAAAGATATATTATTACGAGTCATCTAACACCTAATCAAACCTAATTATTGCACTCTAGTTTTAATTCGACACTTACCTATATCTATGGTGACGGTTATTAGAAATAAAATAACGTTTAGAATATAATATATTATAATAAAGTACAAAAACAAAAACTCGTTCGTTATACAAGATAAATCTTGTGTACAATAAGTTTGGGTATTAAACATATACGGCTAACTGATGTGAAATGAAAACAAAAATTAAATATTTAAAACAAAGTTTTACATAACGTCGTCTATGTCCGTTTCTGCGAGGGTATCAATTCCTGTAACTGAAGGTAAATTTATATATTCCTTTTGGAACAATTTGGGAATCACCTGATCATCACAAAGTTTTTTTTTAAATCGTTATATTTTGTTTTAGTTATGGGCAAAGATATTTTGTACAATTGGTCCACGACCTTTGAATTTGTTCCTCCCATGATGATAGGAATAATTTCTTCTTCTTCAGCGGATCTCATGCTATATTTGACTGACATCTGATCGATTTTAGACTTTTTAAAAGTAGCAACTCTGATCTTGCTTATCTTTCCAGTTAAATTACCGCGAAAATATTTGTCAGCAAAGCTTTCATATCCTTGAAAATCTGTATGATCCAAAAAACTGACGTTATAAGGCTTTGGTTCTTTTCTAGCTAACTGACAAACTGTAGCCCATTGCGAAGGGGCCCATACAATAGTATTTTTTACAGCGCCTTCTATAACAAAGTGCATAGAATCAACACACATCTCTGTATGTCCCGGGAGCAAGTAGTTCATTTGGATGCTTAAAATATTTTTACAGTTTTTAAGCGCATTATGAATGGCTGACAAAACGATCCTATTCTTATTCTGTCCGGGACATGAATCGGAATACAGTATGAGATGTTTCACTGAGATGCGGGCATCCACTAGATCTATGTATTTCTGGATAATAGAAGCAATTTCGTTGCTTCCTCGTTTTCCTTCAGTTTCTCCCCAGATGTAACAAAAGCCTTCTCTGCTACCATTTTCATAAAAACATAAGTTGTATACGGCATATTTCCTTGAATAATAGAGTAACATGCTTTCGCCATGGGGAGTGTTCAATACCTTTTGAAGATCAAAAGATGTACAAATTAAATCTGTGCGTTTTTGACTCATTTCACGATGAAAACTGTACCTTTCCTTGCTAGCTTTCTTTTCCATAAGGTGGTCTTTCTTTTCTGATTTGCTCTCTTCAGTGTTTGCTGCATCAAATTTAATACATTTGAGACATTTATCTTTCTTAGAAATATGAAAGCCTATATTAAATTCAGTATTAAATATGTTTAAAAACACTTTTTCACTGACATAGTCTATTCCCTCGTATGTTTTCTCGCCTTTGTAAATACGGTACAAATTTTTTTGGTTCTTAAATTCAACTGGTAAGTAAAGTTTAGTAGTATTATCTTTTCGACAGTAGTGTGAGGGCAGGGCTGGCAACTTCTTGATGAAGTTTATAACGCTTTGCCGTGTAGTTTCCTGAGTTTTATTAGCAGGTATGATTTTACCTCTTAGATCGTCTTTTGCAGATCCCTCAATGGAATTTGTTAGTGTATAATGCACATAAGTTTGTGTAATATCTAGCGTGTTAAGTAGAAACTGCTGACAGACTCTTCGTCTATCTTCGCTATCATTAATGTAATATTCGTACGAAAAAGAACGTTTCCCACTATCTTTTGAACGTTTTCTCTTGATAGAATTTCGTCGGCTCATATTTACAATCCAATCGCGTTGTCTAGCACTACTCAAACTCCAAAAATGATGAAACAATGACAATCTTCGTTCTTCGGGTACATTCTGGCAGCCATTGCCGCATTTTTTTCCGATACAAGGATTAAGTTTAATTTCCCTTTTAGAACGTATTGTTCCATCTGCTCGGGTATACTCTTGACCTCTATTTTTAAGATCCTTTCTATTGTTTCTATAATTTATTCGTTTTGTTCTTTTACCTTTTTCGCCAACTATGTCAATATCATCTGTTTTACTGGCTAACTCCTTACTTACCTTCCGTGTTTTTTTGACTATCTTTTTCTTAGGCCTGTTATTATGGGTAGATGTATCTGAAGACGTGTTACCTGTATCACTCCACGAACTAGAACCATCAGTAAAAAACGGGTCTTCATTATCGGAGATAAATTCACAATATGTCTTTTTGTTAAGTCTGGGTCGTTTGGATCGTTGTGTATTTTGCTTAATATTAATAGGATCAGAAGCAGCATCTTTGGCGACTAAATTTTCCATTGTGTTTGTTATTATATTGCTATCAATTAGATTGCTATCAATAGTTCGCTGAAACTCTGCAACAGTGTCAACTGAAATAAAAGAGATGATATGTTATTTACATTTAATAATAGGGCTAATAAAACAAAAATCAATAATAGAAAGACTAACAATAAATTATTATGAAGGTACACACAAATGAAGCACCCAAAACGTTCGCAAGTTGAGCATTTCAGAGCTGTGTAATGATAATGTTTGCTATAATCTATCGTCTACCCTTTTCTAAAATGATATTTAAAACTCAAATCATCATCTATTTTTTATCAACTAGTTGAATCTTGCAAATTAATTTATTATTGAAAATAAGAAATTCCAATACGAACCTATTCCTTCTAAGATTGGTGGAGTCATAGTATTATTGTCATCCGATGGACACAGGATGTCCATCGGTATTATTGTTTTGTAAACATTCTATTTGTGGGACATCGGTGTTTTTGTGTATTTCTGAAATAAATTACTAGATTTTATTTCTCAAACTATTGTATCTATTAGTACTTGTATAGAGAGAAGCTTTGTGTTCATAACATATCTCAAGAAAAATTTAGTAAAAACACTCGTCATTTACTTTAAATAGAATAGGTAGTAGCCTACGTTTCAATGCGTTTATTAGAAACAAAAGCCGCTTTTATCCTTATAAAGGCAGATGGCAACATAGGCGAAAGTGGAGTGAAAAGCATACAATGGTAAATATAGTGAATAAATAATTATTACATATAATACATACCTGATTTACTTATTGACTCATGATTTTTATAAAATATTCTAGATGAAACATGATCACCCATATTTTCAATGCTTATCAAGGGTTGATTATTATCCAATAATGAAGTTAATTCCGAAGATTGTTGTTCCTGTGTAAGGTTTGATTCTATTTCGTCTTCGAAGGATAATTTACGTTTACCACATATCTGAGAGAATTCAGATATTACCTTTTTATAAAACTTTCTACGGTCCATCACGTAACTGTAAAAAAATTTTTGAATTAGGCAGTTAATGAATATGACAAATTTGATGGATAAACAACTATTTTATATTTAAAATAATACCATAGACTAATAATAAATCGGATACTTTTAAGATAATTAACAAACAAAAGGTAATAATTTACTTACTCGGTTCTACTATCACCCTTATCGACAAGTCTCAACAAACGTGATCTCTCCCGGTAATGGCTGATCAGTGACTGAAGCGACCTTTGATTGGCACTTCTATTTATAACTTCGTCACTTGCAAAAAATTCGGTAAAAAAACGTTGCATTAAGCGACACGTTAAATAAATAATCAGAAAAATGTATATCTTAAACGACACTAAACATAATTTACAATTGAAGTCAAAACAACTTGGCGCCATTTATAAATATTGTAATGCTGTCGGTTCATTTAAAAACATTTGTGATAATTTGTTATACGTTACATTAAGCGACACTTCGTATTTGATTAGACCTCTTGCAAAACAAATTGAACGCCATTCAACCCTTCTGAGAATATGAGGAAAACACATTAAATACGCGATATGCAATAAATGTTAGATAGGAAAAATAATTTAAGTCACCTACCACTAACTAGTATGAACACAGAAAAACAAAGTATTATTAGTAACAATTGGAATGCCAAATATATCAAATGGGTGTTAACTTAAGAGCGACCTATACGGAAATTGATAAAATTTTGTGTCGGTACAATTATCGGTGATAAAAAATGATCAACAAATCTGCAATACTTTAAGCGACATCAAAGTCCTCAGAGAGTGATGAAACTAATACCAATCGACGCAGAAAAAAATGCTGATTTCAGTGATATATAAAAGTCATTTTTGACCAAAATGTCGCTACAAGTGTTTTGCTTTTCCACCGTCGATATACTCATCCCAAAAAGATGGGCAACAGACATAACTAATGTCTGTTGCCCGTATCACTATCTTGTAGGGGCAAAATTATGGCAGAAAATAGCGACAGTAGCAAAAGGGAAAAATATTCAAATCAAAAAATGCTCTCCAAATAAAACTCAACCGAACTAGAGAGGAAGATACTGCAGAGGAGGAATGGAGACAATTAAAAACAATTATAACGGAGTCAGCAGAGGAAACTGTCGGAAAAGCCAAAAGGCAAAGAAATGCGGAATGGTATGATGATGAATGCAGAACTGCAGTAGAGGAAAAAAAGGCAAGCTAGGCTTAACCAACTTCAAAGAAACACAAGAAATAGCAGTGAGATTTATAACGAAAAAAGAATACAAGCGACTAGAATATGCAGAAGAAAGAAAAGAGGGGATATGAAAAAACAAGTACAAGAAATCGTAAAGCATAACAAGAGACGCGAAAGTAGAAAATTTTATAAATGCATAAAAGAAAGCACACAGTCATTAGACCAAAACTAACGATATGCAAAGACAAGAACGGAGAACTACTAACAGAGAAGCAAAAAATTATAATGAGATGGAAACAATATTTCGAAGAAAATCTAAATGCAGACAACGAAAATGATCAGAACGAGACAATATATTATACGGCGGAGCTGCACATCGAAAATCCGAGTTATGAAGAAGTAGTTCAGATAATGAACTACTTCTTCATAACTCGGATTTTCAGATTTAGATCTACAAACTTTACTAGATGCAATAAATAGTGAATGCATTCAAATGGGACTTGACATCAACACAGATAAGACCAAATTTATGATAGTATCAAGGAGTCCAATAAATAATGAACAACTAACTCTTGGTGGACAGCAAATAGAGAGAGTGACAAAATATAAATATCTGGGAGCTTACATCAACACAGAATTAGATCCAGACCAAGAAATCCGGGTACGAATAGAAATGGCAAGGGCAGCGTTCTTAAAATTCAAACAATTGTTCTGTGACAAAAATCTGAATATTGCGCTGAGACTGAGGTTTGTTGAATGCTACGTCTGGTCGCAATTATTGTACGGGGTAGAAACATGGACACTAAAAGCGCAAATAGTTAAAAAGATTGAAGCCTTTGAACTTTGGATATACCGGAGAATGTTGAGAATCCCATGGACTGCCACGGTCACCAATGAGGAAGTGCTGAAAAGAATGGGTCGAGTCAAAAAATTGTTGAGAACGATAAAAGTACGCAAGACTGCATACCTTGGACACATACTAAGAAATAATAAATATAGTCTTCTGCAGGTCATCATGCAGGGTAGAGTCGATGGCAAAAAGGGAATAGGTAGAAAGAGGAAGTCATGGCTGCGAAATATTCGAGACTGGACAAACATGACTGTAGACGAATTATTCCACGTTGCAAAAGACAGAGAAGCTTTTAAAATTGTGGTCGCCAACCTCCGTTAATGGTGACGGCATAGGAAGAAGAAGAAGTTCAGATAATAAATAAACTAAAAAACAATAAAGCACCAGGAACGGACGGAATTTCGGCAGAATTATTAAAGCATGGAAGATCCGAACTCTGGGAAAGAATCCATCACCTAATAACATTAACATGGACGAAGGAGCAAATGCCAGAGGAATGGACAGTTGGCCTCATACAGCCAATATATAAAAAAAGAGATAAGAGGGAATGCCAGAATTATAGGCCAATTACATTGCTAAATGTAATATACAAAATTTTTTCTGGTATAATGTACAATAGATTATTAGAATACTCCGAAAATATAATTGGTGATTGTCAAAATGGATTCAGACCAAATAGAGCCACTACAGATAACATATTCATACTAAGAACGATACAAAAAAAAAGCTTATGAATACGACATAGACCTATATAATATGTATATAGACTTTAAACTGTTGCCGAGAGGGGGCATTTGGGCCTGTAGGGCCCATCGCCGGCTCTTCGGACTTCTTCCTGTCCCCGGAATTTGATCGGGTGTTGAGCATCTTTGCTTGTCGCTGGTAAAACGTGTTAATACTGCTACTGGTATAAAATAACAGTTACCGTGACAAGTATCTGTTATAGGTAACAGTTCCAAGGAACAGTTACAAAATAGCAGATCAAAATAGAAAACAGACAGGTAAAATAATCTAAGTATTCTTTGACTTACGAAAGAAATAACTTAGTAAACAAGGAAATAAAATGGTATATAAAAATACAATGCACAGAAAATGTTTCTAATTGTTTCTTGACTTAGAATGAAAAGTAAAATACACAAGAATAAAAGAACAGAAAAGTGCAGAAATATTCCTAAGTGTTTCTTGACTTACGGAAGAAACAACTTAAGACAGAAATATCGATAAATGAAATATGTAAATTTGAAACAATGTATAGAAATATTTCTAAGTGTTTCTTAGAACAGAAAACAAACAAGAGAATCAAATATAGCAAAAAAAAAAGAATACAAATATTTGTAAGTGTTTCTTGACTTACGGAAGAAACAACTTATAATAGAAAATAAGAAAATCAAATACAGAAAAGATATGGAAATATTGCTAAGTGTTTCTTGACTTACGGAAGAAACAACTCAGCATGAAATGGTAAAATAAAAGAGACAAATATATTAAGAGAATATCTTAGATAAATATCGGAAATAATAATGCAATAATGATTATGAAAATATTTCTAAGTGTTCTTTTGACTTACCGGAAAAGAATGACTTAGGTACACAATAAAATTAACAAGTCAAATATCAGAGAAATATTTCTAAGAGTTCTTTGACTTACCGGAAAGAACTACTTAGACACAAAGTACAAAATCAAATTTATAAAATAGAAAAAAGTAAGATAAATATTTCTAAGTGTTCTTAACTTACGGAAGAACAACTTAGATACAAAATACAAGAAAAATAAACAATCAAAATAATCAAATAAAATATCAAATAATCAGTATATGAACAAATATAAGTCAAAGTAATATTCTAACCTGAAAAGGTCTGAATATACAATAATAAAATATAAATGGTTATCAGGAAATAAGAAATAAAACAATAGCTTAGTCGGAACAATAATAGCACCGACTAGGTCTACAGAAGAAGAGGCAAGCTCGACTGACTGATGAGAGAAATTCCATCTGCTTTTATATAAAACAAGTCCTTTGTTTTACGTAGTAAAAGTGAAATTTCCCTACATCGAGTCAATTAGAAATTCGGATTTGCCCACACTTGGAATTTCCAAGTTTTTCTCCGAATTTCTAAATGCGTCCGGCACGGCGGTCAGCTTCTGCTTGACACGCCTCCGGAGACAAAACAAGCTTTTGATAGTGTGAAAAGAGACAGAATGCTGGAAGACCTTTGTAATATAGGTATACCTAAGAAATACATCAGCCTCATAAAAACGACGTTGCAGGGTTCAAAAGCCGTAGTCAGAGTAGATGGAGAACTGACTCCCTTGTTTAACATCAACATGGGAGTAAGACAGGGAGATGCCCTATCAACCATGCTATTCAACCTAGTTCTTGAGGCAGTTATCACAAAAACCAATATAACCGGCCATATAAACACCAAATCAGTACAAATTACTGCATATGCAGACGATATAGCCATCATTAGTAGGAATAAGCCACGACTAATGGAAGTGTTCAAACAAATTGATCCTGAAGCAAGAAAAAGAGGTCTCAAAATAAACGAAGCAAAAACGAAGTATATGACAGTCAAAAGAATAACTAACAATGAAAATAATATCACAATAGACAACTATACTGTCGAACGAGTGGATGCCTTTACATATCTCGGCACAGAAATCAATCAGAAGAACTCCGTAAGTATCGAAATTAATGCACGTATTTCCAGCGGGAATCGTACATACTATGCTAATAAAAGATTGATGATATCGACATTATTAGACAAATGAACCAAAATGACTATCTACAGAACACTGATTAGACCCGTAGTAACCTATTTGAAACTTGGGTAATGACGAAAAAAGATGAAGCCCAACTCAGGACATTCGAGAGAAAAATACTGAGAAAAGTATATGGCCCGGTACAAGACGAAGATGGCACATGGAGAATCAGAAGAAACGACGAGGTTAATGAGTTAAATAAAGGTTATGACATTGTAAGATTTGTGAAAAGTCAAAGACTGTCATGGCTGGGAAATGTGCAGAGACAAAACGATGCAAAAACAACAAAGAAAATGTTACAATGGAAGCCCATAGGAAGGCGAAAAAAAGGAAGGCCCAGAACGAGATGGTTGGATGACGTGGAAGACGACCTGAAAACAATGAACATAAGACAATGGAGAAGAAGGGCACAAGAGATATCTGAATGGAAGGACATAGCCAGACAGGCAAATACCCATCCAGGGTTATGATGCCAAGAGAAGAAGAAGAAAAAGAATCCAT